TCCATAGAAACAAGGAGATGATGAACTTCCAACCAAAAAGTTACACAGTGCACCTTGAATAAACTGAGCGTTTCAAAACATGTTAACAAAAACTCTTGAAGACACAGGCACATTCAGTTCTTTGTGAAGGACACTGTGAAAGCTGTTACCTACAAAACTGCAGTCTTTGAGTTTCACTAATTATGTTGATTTAATTTCAAGTCTGTTCCATTTGAATTTTCATTCGAATTAAAAAGCCCAGGTGTAATTTTAATTTATTGTTGTCAACAAACATCAAGTGCTATATGGTAAAAGCTGCTTAATAAGAAGAAAAAGTAGACTGTAAAAACCCATGTATTATTCGTTCATTCGTTTTTCAAAATAAAACCAAAAATAAGAAAATGAAAAAAACAACTATTTTCTTCATTATTTGTCTCCAAATCCAAAATGAAAAAAAAAAAAAAGGATAATGATTTGTTTTTTCAGTTTTGGATATTGTTTTATTTATTTCCCGTTTCTGCGACGCCGGACTTCTGCGCCGCATACAGACTGAACCAAGACTAAACCAGGACTAAACTGGTCTCAGTCTTAGTCTCAGTGCCGGTCTCTGTCCTGGTCTGGTCCCGGTCTGGTCCTGGTCTCAGTTGGTTCACCGTCACTCGACAGTCTACGCGGGCGCACCTACAGGCCCGTCCTGACACTCCTGGGTCAGTCGTGGTTTAGGACTGAGGCCAGGACCAGACCGAGACCAGGACCAGCAAAGAGACCGGGACTGAGACTGGGACCAGACCAGAACTGAGACTGGGACTGAGACCGGAACTGAGACCGGGACTGAGACCGGGACCAGACCAGAACTGAGACAGTTTTAGTCCTGGTTTAGACCTGGTTTAGACCTGGTTTAGTCCTGGTAGACCTTGTTTAGTCCTGGTTTAGTCCTACTAGACCTGGTTCAGTCCGTACGCGGTGCAAAAGTCCAGCATCGCACTTTAAGTCACGGAAACAGGAAATGGCCGTTGCCCGTTTTTTCCATTATTCATTTAAACACAAAATCAAAAACAGAAAAAAACAAATTGTTATGTGTTTTTTCATTTTGGTTTTGGAGACAAATTGTTTTTTTTTGTTTTCTTATTTTTGGTTTTATTCAGAGAAACGAATGAACGAATGATACACAGATTTATCAAATACAATCTATTCATTTTTGTGAGCGTTTTCTCAGGCACTTTTTCCGTCAAATAAAGCACACTGTTGCTATGAATCACAGTAAACCAACATCATTACATAATCCTTGATCTTTGACATCTGAATCTCTGTCATGATGCTTTTATAAGAGGGACAGACGGCCGTTTCTGTGTCATGGTCATAAACTTTCTAAGCAAGTGCGTTAAGGGAATGTTTGTATTGGAAATCACTGCATCTCGCTCTGAAACTGCTGCTCTCAGACTTGTCATTTTGGTCTTAAAATGTTCATAATCCAGGGTTTTTTATTCCACTATTTTGTCCGTAATTTAAGACCCCACTTCCTACTAAACCGTTTTCTCACACAGGACAGTTACAACACTTTTTGGTCCTTCGTAAAACTTATCGCTGCTGTCGTCCTTTTGTTATTTTGCTCCTTCTTTATGCAACAAACCGAAGATTAATTTATTCCGTAATGGAGCCTACAGCGCAGAGTCCTGCAGGGGTCCAGTTTAGGAGACTCGCACCCACGCAGTACAGCACCGCACCAGCCCGTTAACCTGAGATTATATCAAACGTTTGCGCTGCATATGCCAGGAACTGAACCAAGACTAAACCAGGACTAACCTAGGACTGATTCCAGGACTGAAGAGGAGGACTAAACCAGAACTGAACTACGACTAAAACAGGAGTAAAACAGGACTAAACCAGGACTAACCTAGGACTGATTCCAAGACTGAAGAAGAGGACTAAACCAAGACTGAAGTAGGATTAAAAAAAAAAACAGAGAGACCACGAAAGGTGAACCGTAATATAGCGAGGGACGACTGTAGCGCTTTTTACAGACATCGGTCACAAAGTGCTTCACATACACCAGATAAAAACAGAAGATATATTCATAATAAAATAAAATCGGTCATAACAGCTCTAAACCTGAGAGGGCGTGAAAGCTTGTGTAAAGAGAAATGTTTTTATTTGCTTCTTAAAAGCATCTACACTGTCTAGAGAGCGAAGGTGAGGAAGTGGTTCATTCCAGAGTTTAGAGGAGACGGCTTGAAAGGATCTGTTGCCTCGTGTTTTAAAACTTGTCCGAGGGACCATTAGCAGGCTGCGGGTGGAGGTGTACGGCTTTATCGGATCTGTGGTGGAAGCGGGAGTCATGTAGGGCCCTAGAGGTCAGCACCAGAATCTTTAAGTGGACACGAAAAAGAACAGGGAGCCAACGTAAGGATTTTAAGATCGCAGTGATATGAGTGATATGCGCTCTCCTGGTTCAGGTCAGGAGCCTTGCAGCACAGTTTTGGACAATCTGCAGTCGGGTAAGTTCCATCGATTTTGGTTCCAAATTAGAAGTTATTAACGGTACATATCTCGATACATAGGCCACGATACGATACAGTTCAATAAAAAAAAAAAGAAAAAAAAGGTTAAATCACAGCTGTGACACTAAAAGTCTTTGTTAAACCACTTCTTGTGCAAAATTCATATGAAACACGTCCATTTTAATCCTCAAAACAGTGAAAATGTAAAATGTGTCGCATAAACGAGTTTCCTTCAGCTAAACAAGCAACAAAATTGTAGCACTGTAACAAAATAATTTAGTAAAATACACCAAAAAACACTCTTGGCGATATATCGATACAGCAGCCCATGATCTTGATACTATATCATCACATTAAACAATACGGTATTTCGATATTTTTGCACACACCTAAGCGAGGGTATTGAAATGAACGCCCCTTCCCAACCGCACCAATGGTTTGTTGGAACGTGCACATCGCAAGCTGTCAATCAAACATGTTGTTGACACTAGTGGAAATAAACGTAGGGAAAGTAGGCACCTCATACTCATTTTGTGGTGGCTCCCAGTTCATTTATATCCATTTATATACACAGCTGATAGTCATGGTGCAATATCACAGCAACTGAAAGGACTAAGTGAGCGAACCTAAAAGTTCAAACTAAAACGTGTTAATGGCTCATGGTTTAAAATCAGGTACAGGCCCTTTAACGATAAGGATAAAGCAGTGGATTCGCCTTTCAAGATATCCAAATCTCTTCACGATGCATTATTCATACGCTGTATAGTCGCACACATATTACCTTCTCTCGCCTGGTGTCGGCCATTTAGATTTGTTCACTGGGTCTAAATTAGCCTGGTACACAGTGTCCAGCATCACAAAAAGGACCAGGACTGGGAAAGATGCATAATTTAGATCTGTGCTTCCCAGAGTTTTCTTGAATAACTCCAACAACCTCCCAACTCGAGTACTGGATAAATAAACGTTAGTAGTATATTGTCGATTTTTACTATTTTATTTTCTTGTTTTAATGATTTGATGTCCTCCATTACAACCTTAAACGAACTGTAGATACAATTTAGATTTTTATTTTGTAGAACTGAGCTACACATGTCCTGAGATGCGAGGTACAGATGTTCAAATAAAATACAGCTTTTACTACTTTTTACTATAACAATGCTAATGCTGATTTCTTCTTAATTACAATGAGCCTCACAGTGCTAGTGCAGCCTCTGCAGCTCAGTGAGGCATGGCCTGTCCATAAACTGAAAATGGGACAAACTTGGATTGGATGTGTCTCTATCTGCAGGTGAAGGCTCCGGCAACACAGGCTCAGGTCTGGAAGGGTTAAAATAAAGGAACTAGAATCACAACTAAGGGCAATTTTAGTACATTTTTCCACACCTGGATTTTTTTTCTTATTTTTGCTATTAAACTCATGGCAAACATGTATAAACAACATTTTGGACATAAAAAATGCTTAATTTAGAGCCTTAGCTACAAAAGTCCAAAATATCAAGTCTGTAAGTAAAATAAAAGTATCTTTATTACCCTTAAAAAAAAAAAAAAAAAAAAAAAATGCAATCACCTCATGACTTTCCTGGTGTTATGGAAACAGCTGGTGTCAGGTCCAGACACAGAGCCACATCATTTCCTGCATTTCCATGGTGTTTATTGCATTTGTATTTGTACATTTTCAGTGAAAGATGTGTAATTTGCCATTTATTTGAGTATAAAATGCACTTAGACCTGCTTTTTCAATTGTTACGGACATAGACTCTTAGAGCAGTCGACCATTTTGACTCACTACACTCATAGGCAAAGTTTGGGCTGATGAAAATGGATGGAGCACATGCGTTTGGAGGTAAACAAAGTTCCTATTGGACACTCATTTTCCCAAGAAAATGCCGAAATAATGCTCGGAAAGCTACAAATGTCAGCTGTTCAGGGGGGAAAAGGTAAGTTTCTGTCTTTTATGGTTGTAAAATGATGCACGATTACGTAAAACATGTCTGCCGGTATCTCTGGAAGGGTTAAAACTGTAAAAACGCAGATTAGATGCAGTTTTTCTTTTTTGTTGTTGTCGTCATTTCCAACAAAGAGCTGTTTTTTATCCAAATATCCATACCCGGGGTTGTGAAACACGTTTAGATGCGCTTCTGTGCACCACCGCTTTTATATCATTTTAGGATCGCGTTAATCTAGCTGGCAGGACTTGAGAAATAGTCATGATAGACACATTTATCTTTTTATGCCGTGTTTTTGGACGCCGGCGAGGCCTAAGTCACACAATGAAAGATGACATTGTGCTACGCAGGGTGCTGGAAATCAATAGTTGCCAGCAGCTATTTGAAATGATCTCATAATAGTTCGATGTTGTTTTGAAGTTGTTTACAAAAACGTCAGATTTGCATAGTACAGGACCTTCAGCGTGTACTTTTATCAGTGATTAATATATGTTTTTTGTTTGTACTTTCATTCATAATCATAACGCGAGGGTTGACATTCCCCCTACTGTTTTGCGTCCTGTCCTTAGAGGCATACCCAAGGGCGTGCTGCCGTATCTGGCCCACTGGAGCGTGCTGTATCCGGGCTTGTCCGTGAGCGTGGAGCGTTGAGCCGGAGCGCCCCCTATGGTCCCTCCGTTCCTCTGCAGCGACGCGCACCTCCCGTACCCCGAGAGCAGGTTCGAGGAGCTGTGGGCGTGCGCCAGTTCGCTGTCCGGCGCCGTCCTCCCGTTGGCCAACCTCCCGTTCGGAACGCCGTTGGACTTCCGATCGTCCGTGTAGATCATCCCGTTGGAGTAAGACAGCTTGGACAAATCCGTAGAAGCTGGTTTACCGTTTAGTCGGCTGTGAAATGGAGACCCGGGAACGTCTTTCTTTCTATAACCGGGTTTGAGAAACGACAAAAGGTTCTCGTGGCTGTTTCTGTCGTGCACGCTGAAGCCGCTCTTGTCCTCAGGATCGAGAACCATGTGCAGCAGGTCTTTTTGCATCTTGGAAGAGGCGCCGTTTTGGATCCGGTTCCGTCGGAGAGTCGAATCGCGGCTCGCTGGGGCGCTCTGGCTGAAAGCGTTGTCGAACAGAACTTGTTTTGGAAGCGCGAAGTCCAAAGTCCTTCCTTGGTCTAACCTTTTGGAAGATCTCAACGTGTTCTCGGTAAAAGTTCTCCTCTGTCTTTCCGGGATCCGTGGGGACTCCATGGTGGCGCTAACAATGCTCCCGTTTGGAGAACTGAGCCCGGACTGCAGCATTCTCCCGTGGGCGGTTCGTAGAGGAGGGGTGGCCACCAGCGACACGATGGGCTCTTGGGTGCATCGCGGTCTCCGTCCGGATTCGAGGTACTCTACGAGCTCGCCGGGCTGCGGAGGTGGAGGCGGGGTCAGGGGGCGGGGCTTGAGGCGGTCCTTGGACGCCAAAGACCAGCGGAGAGGGAGGACCCTGCTCAGTGGATCCTTGGGCTTAGTGGGGGAGCGCATACTTACGCTTCGGCCGTTTGTTCCGCGGACGAAAGGTTTGGTGTCAAAGCCATCTAAAAACAGCATTAGACAAAAGCATTACTACAGCTACAGCCTGAGCGTGCAGTGGGTAGGATTTAGAGACAAAATGAGAAAAAATTAAGGATGCACCAGTATTGTTCTGATACTGATTTCGATACTTGCTTTATAACTTTGCCAATACCCGATTTATAATACCCAGCATTTATTTCCTTTAAACAAAAGTAAAATAAGTCAAAACTGATCCAAATGTGTTATGTAACTGCTGTATGTCCTGCTGCAGATGCACAGATGTGGACTGTTATTTTTTTCTTTGTGTGTGTGTCATGTTTCCTCAGTGGCTCAAGGCTTAACCACTGAAAACCTCTGCACTGTGGTATAAAAGGGATGGACACTAAAACCCGGTGTCATAACAGACCTGCTGCTTAGTTTAATGACCTCTGCTCTGGTGTGTAATTCTATTATTCTATTGTTCTCTGTGTGATTCAGTTCTGACTGATCAGCACAAAGGCTTGAACAAAGCACGGGCTGAAAGCCCAGGCCAAATCTTACAAAGTTAACTTTTAGGTGCTTTGAAAAAATTCTAGTTGAAAAAATTGTGGAAAAAACTCAAATACAAAATCCAAGTTTTGTGAAAGCTGCAGGCGTCCTGTCAGACAAATACAAGCAGTTTGATTTCACCAAAAATACATCACGCTCTGTGGAGAATTCTTCAGGACAGAGGAGCTTTATCATTATTCTAGGATTGCACTGATACCGATACTGGCATTAAATATCGGTGCTGATACTGAAAAATTTGCTGTATCAGGTGTTGGTTCCATCAGTTACGCTGATACGGTGATTGGGCATTTGGATCTAGATTTGGACCATTAGAATGTCTCACAATGTTCGACCTTTTAATCATACAAAGCTGGCCTGATTCATCAGACGGTTTCACTTCGTAGAAACCGTCTGACCTCGCAGGCATTAGAATTTGTTTGCTCGACGGTAGGTGGGTACTTTTTATCATTTAACCAGTCGATGCTATTTGGTCGTGATGTATGTAATGCGCCACTAACAGGGCTAACTGGTATATTAAGCTTTTCCTAAATCCTGTAGGAAGAAGGACAATAACGTCTTTCCCCTTGATGAAATTCACCAAACATTCTCTTTGTTCCGGCTTTAAATCCTCGATCTAGGGAATCATTGCCAACACAGAATATATGTCTCTTCTCTGATTGGCTGGTGCCCGAACTCGCACTTCCAGAGTTTTTGCAAACCGTCTAGTGTATTCCGATTCCTGACCTAGTCGCGAGTCGGAGAGAAATGAAATCGAGCGGTCACGAAGAATAAACAACAGTTACATACCACACTTGGATCTCTTGTGTAATCCAATAAATGTGTTTTAAGGAAATAAATGCCATTTTCTGTCTCAACTCTTGTATTGAAATCGGTATTGTAACTCAAAAAGCTGGATTGGTGCATCCTGATCCAGTTCTTTTTTTTTTTTTGTTAGAACTGATAGAACATCCACGTGTGCCTACTCCTCCAACACACTCATGGGTAATAATGTTTGACTTGCATCGCCAACATGGGAAATATGCATAACCTGAGGCACAAACATTTACATACATATGACTGCTGCTTATGTCACTGTAAATTTCATGCATCGAAATCGTAGTTGTCTCTTAATCCCACACACTGCGGCACGTGTTAAAGAGCACGAGTTAAGTATAAAGCTTCTACAGCAGCGAGTATCAGAGCCGTTAGAGCGATTTGTTTAGTGATGACTGTGACATGAGCGACAAAAAAAGATGGGATGCTGTAAAAGGTAATTAACACAATGATGTTTTATTATGCAGTATTTCTTAAAGTACAAAGGCTGATGTGACCAATCAGAATAGGGTAGAAAAGGAATCCGTGTATCATCCGTTCGTTTTTCAAAATAAAACCAAAAATAAGCGAACAAAATAACTTAATATTTTCTTCATTATTTGTCTCCAAAAAAAAAAAAAGAAAAAAAAAAAAAATTATTATTATTTTTTTTCAGTTTTCGATTTTGTGTTTCCATGAATAAAGAGAAAAAAATTATAACGGTCGTTTCCAGGAGTAAAAACAGGACTTAAAACAGGACTAAACCAGAACTTAATCAGGACTAAACCAGAACTTAATCTTAATCCTGATCTCAATCCTGGTCTGGTCCTGGTCTGAGTCCCGGTCACAGTCCCGGTCACAGTCCCGGTCACAGTCCCGGTCACAGTCCCGGTCTCAGTCACGGTCTGTCCTTGTCTGATCCCGGTCTCAGTCCTGATCACCCAACAGTCTACACGGGCACACGTCTGGGCCCGCCCCGACACTCAATCCTGGTTCAGTACTGGTTTACACCGGGGCTAGACCGGGACCAGATTGGGACTGAGCCCAGGACCAGATCGAGATTGAGACTGGGACTGAGACTAGGACCTGACCGGGACCAAACTGGGACTGAGACCAGGACCAAACCGAGATTGAGACCAGAATCAAACCAAGACTGAGACCAAGACTGAGACCGGTGTAGTCCTGATTTAATCCTGGTTCAGTCCCGGTTGAGTCCGTATGCGGCACAAAAGTCCGGCATCACAGTTTAAGTCACGGAAACGGGAAACAGACGTTATCCGTTTTTCCATTCTTCATATAAACACAAAATCGAAAACTGAAAAAAGGAATCATTATCCATTTTTCATTTTGGTTTTGGAGACAAATAATGAAGAAAAATGCTGTTTTTTCGTTTTCTTAATTTTTGGTTTTATTTTGAAAAATGAAATGAATGAATGATACACACATTGAAAGCACAGGTTACATCACTGGAACACGGTATTATAAAAACATTTCGTCGCCCTTTCTGAAATCATTTTCATTTTGGTCCTGGTCTGAGACGTAGGATTTACACTGCACTCTACTTTTTCAAACCGACCCTTCTCCTTTTCTTCAAATGTACACCTATAAATCCTAATGTGTCGCAGCAGTTTTTCTTCTCTTCAGAGTCTGCGAGACTGTTTCTGCTTTAACGTAATCCCCTCAGGTTTCTGCTGAGTCGAGCTAAAATCAATAAATACTGACAGATCAGGCGGGGGACAGGGGCTATAGTGTGGACTTTTCTAAAAACGGTAAAGGTGCATCGTGTGAAGTTTTCTGAACAGGGTCTGCCACCGCTTTGTCTCCATGGAAATGTTAATGCCTTAGTGCAGAGGTTTTCAAAGGAATGTGAGGCTCGTCTTAAAGTAAAGACAGTCAAGCCCACCCCCTCCCGCAGCATGGTTTAGTCCTGGTTTAGACCTGATTTTAGTTTTGGTTTAGTCCTGGTTTAGACCTGGTTTAGACTTAGTTTTAGTTTTGGTTTAGTCCTGGTTTAGACTTGGTTTTAGTTCTGATTTTAGTCCCGGTTGAGTCCTGGTTTTAGTTCTAGTTTAGACTTGGTTTAGACCTGGTTTTAGTCCTGATTTTTGTTCTGGTTTAGAATTGGTTTAGTCCTGATTTTAATCCTGTTTTAGCCCTGGTTTAGTATTGGTTAAGTCCTGGTTTTAATTTTGATTTAGTCTTGGTTTAGTCCGGGTTTAGACCTGGTTTAGTCCTGGTTTAGACCTGGTTAATCCTGGTTTTAGTCCTGGTTTAGACCTGGTTTTAGTCTTGATTTTAGTCCTGGTTTAGTCCTGGTTTAGTATTGGTTAAGTCCTGGTTTTAATTTTGATTTAGTCTTGGTTTAGTCCGGGTTTAGACCTGGTTTAGTCCTGGTTTAGACCTGGTTTTAGTCTTGATTTTAGTCCTGGTTTAGTCCTGGTTTAGAAGTGGTTTAGTCCATATTTTAGTCCTGTTTTAGTCCTGGTTAAGTCCTGGTTTTAGTTCTGGTTTGAACCTGGTTTAGACCTGGTTTTAGTCCTGATTTTAGTCCTGCTTTTGTTCTGGTTTAGTCCTGGTTTTGTCCTGGTTTTTGTTCTGGTTTAGTCCTGGTTTTAGTCCTGTTTTAGTGACGTGGTCCGCAGATCTGAACTTGGTAACTTGGTCTGGTTTGTTCTCCATGATGATAAAAAGTTTTAAACCCAGACTGTTTGACTGTGAACATCTCCACACAAGTTTGTGACATTAATAACATTTACATTTACAGCATCCCAACTTTTTTTGTTGTTGTTAAGTTACAGTTTAACGCCCTCAGTGTGTTCCCGTACTCACTGGTGTCTTCTGACTTGTACGGTTCATCTCCGAACACGGGCAGCTCGGGAGACTCCGGCGCCGCTGTGCTCCCCGGGGGCCCCGCGGACAGCGCCCCTCCGGACCCCACGCTGTCCCGCTCACTGCTGCCCCCTGTCAGCCGCACCAGCCAATGATCCGACGCCGACGAGCTGGTGGAACCTGCGAAAGAACACAACAACAACTTCACTTCACAAATGGATAAAACATCTTGCCAGAAACTAATACGTTGATTAAGCGGACATTGAGGTGCCGTCTGCATCTAAATAGAAAGCATTTTATTGGTCGATTATCGGGAAATGCATGTTAGCATACTAGTTGGTCTCAGAGATTTGTGAAAAGCTCCTATAAACTCATCACAGTGAATGGTAGTCCAGGACTAAACCAGGACTAAACCAGGACTGAACCTATGCCCTGTCATCAGTGGATTATAAATACATAAGCACCGCAAAAGCAGAACCAATCGCCAGGACTACACCAGAACTAAACCAGAACTAAACCAGGACTGGACCAGGACTAAACCAGGACTACACCAGGACTGAACCACGTCTAAACCAGTGTCTTAAGCATAAATATATACATGCCGCAACTATCGAGCTGATCTCCAGAACTACACCAGGACTGGACCAGAACTAAACAAGGACTTAACCGGGACTTAACCAGGACTGGACCAGGTCTAAACCAGGTCTAAACCAGGACTAAACCAGTGTCTTTAGCATAAATATATACATGCCGCAACTACCGAGCTAATTGCCAGAACTACACCAGGACTGGACCAGGTCTAAACCAGGACTGAACCAGGACTGAACCACAAATTAATCATGTCTAAACCAGGTCTAAACCAGGACTAAACCAGGACTAAACCAGGTCTAAACCAGAATTTAAACCAGGAGTGCCGCCACTGAGCCGATCTCCTCCGCCGATGGTTTTATGTAATAAATAAATTAAAGTCTCTCTTAGCCTGGTCTGCCGTTGTTCTGGGAAAAGACCGGGAAATGTCACAGGGCAATGGACGTCCTGGATGCGCATCATGTATTTTTCTCTCACTTGTCGTTCATTTGATTCACCCGATCCGCCCATGTGTAATCGGTACCCGTCTGCATATTAACCCGTAAATTCCATAACGTTAAAACCCACCCGTTTCAGCCACTATTTGTGGGTACCCGTTGGGGGCGGTCTGTCTACATTTCCAAATCTCCAAATGCTCTGTTCTACCTTGTGATGTCATGAACTAGTACCGTATTTTCCGGGCTATTAGGCGCGCTCTTAAGCCTCCAACCCCATCAAAAAACGACTGTGCCCCCCGCAATCCAGAGCGCCTATACACGAATCCACTCGGGTGTCCCAGCACGATTTGAGTAAACTACAAAGCTGCACCAGCCACAGGACACACAAACACACACGGAGCAGACAGCGACCGCACAGCGAAAAACACCCACAGACACACTCATCACTCCACACCGACGAGGAACGGAACGGAGGAACGAACCGAAAAAGCGAGTGCAATGTGCCACTTCTAGACACGACTGAACAACTGACTCACTGCGAACACGCCGACAATCCGTTGGTCCCAGACAGCACCCTCCCTACACGCCACAACTGAACAAAGCCCAGAGTCACCGTGAACGCACCAAACAAACAAAACCACTCACCCATCACACTGTTGTGTTTTGTTTAAAGTCCAGTGTGGTTTATTTGTGAAAAAAGTTCAAAAATAGACCATTTAATGACAGTGCGTCAACCTTTTGTTCAGTAAAGATTAGAAATTCCAGGGTTGAAATCATCCAAATGATTCTAGCGAAGGTGTGAATGGAGTTTAAAAGCACAGTGAAGCACTTCCTCTATTACCACGACATCACAAGGTGGGACAGATTGTTTTCTGTGCGAGAGACGAACTCATCCTAAATACTAATAAATGTATGTGTGTGTTATATTGATGTGTCGCTCTTAGAATCGGCTCCTCGTTGGTAGCCAATTTAGTTTTTTTTAAGCGTGCCTTTCTATTTTCTTTCCTCCACTTTTTTGTGAAAACCGCACGTGATTAGTCAAGACGTGTGGCGGCATCTGCCTGTTCACTGAGCAGAAGAGGGGAGGGGTCATAGACACACACAGCGGTGAGCACAACACATACACATACACACACGCACACGCACACACGACACGACACGACACGAGAGACCGAGGGAGAGCGAGTGAGAAAAGAACGGTGAGAAAATGAGAAAACGCAGTCAAGTGTGGACACATTTCAATGCAAATTAATTAAAATTTGTGTATTTGAGATGGGTCTTTTTTTATACTTTTTTATACTTTATCATTTACTTTGTAGAAATCTGTTCAAGGCTAAGTGTGTTAAAAAAAAAAGCCATTTAAGGATAAACATCTGATGTCATGTATGTTTTTTACATTAGCAATTCATTTTTACGGAAGCCGAGAGGGGTCACAACAAACGCAAACGCAGCAAAAAATACGAATGCAACAACACAACAGAAAGCCACAACACACCAAAAAAAAGCCACAACGGAAATGACCGCGAAACTCTATTTTAATGCAAACACAGCAACAAATACAAACGCTACAACACAAACGCAAATGCCGCAACACATTAAAAAGCCACAACACATTCAAAAAGCCACAACACATCAAAAAGCCACAACGGAAGTGACCGCGGGACTCTATTTTCCGACGGACCGATCAAGCGGCAAGTGAAGACGAAGAACTACAACGTGAAAAGTAAAGGAACGGAGAAGTTGGAAACGTAAGTAAAAGTAATTTATTGTTTTATCATTATTCGTTTCACGTTGTAGTTCTTCTTCTTCACTTGCCGCTTGATCGGTCCGTCGGAAAATAGAGTCCGTTGTGGCTTTTTGATGTGTTGTGGCGTTTGCGTTTGTGTTGTGGCGTTTGTATTTGTTGCGGCGTTTGCGTTAAAAAAGAGTCCCGCGGTCATTTTCGTTGTGGCTGTTTTTGGTGTGTTGTGGCTTTTTGTTGTGTTGTCGCATTTGTATTTGTTGCGGCGTTTGCGGCCCCTCTCGGCTACCGTACATTTTACAGACAGTTTTGCATTATTTTTTGTGATAAATTAATTTAAGAAGCAGAAAATCCGAGGAGCCGTTTGGGAGCCGAAAGGCAAGGCAAGGCAAGTTTATTTGTGTAGCACAATTCGTACACAAAGTAATTCAAAGTGCTTTACAGAATAAGAAATATATTAAAATCATAATAAAAACAAATCAAAACATAAATAATCATGAAGATTAAAATAAAAAAAGAGACATATATTGGAGAGAAGAGTGTGGCTTAATATAAAGAGCCGACTCTTTATAGTAAGCCGAGCCAAAAGAACCGGCTCTCCAAAAAGAGACGAAATTCCCATCACTAGTGTGTTAAACTTAGGCGAAAGGCGAAAGAAACAAAATACAACTCCAGGTGTAATTTTGATGGGGAAACAACATCATAACAGTTTTTTGAAAGGACCCATATTGTGCCATTTTCCAATCTGTCAGTTTTTCGGTTTTAAAATAGTAAAATTCTGGCACATTTGTACGTTCTGGGGGAAAGTGAACCCGCTGAACGTACTGTCACCTGTACTCTAAACACCCACTGATCATAAATTACCACCTGTTGGAGTCTGGCAAAAACAGATCTGTTTTTGACAGATGAAAAACAACTTGACTATCAACAACCTTTCACATTCACAGCTAAAATTTCGACTAGTACATTTGCTTTTTACTTTGACTTCATGGCGCGACTTTGGCCGTACTCGCTGAATACCGAGCGGCTGATAAGTTGTAAATGAAGCTCACACGCACGCACACGCGACCTTTTCTTTTCTCGAAACGATGTCACTTTCCTGATTTTTTTTTCCTCGAATTGGTCACCAGGAGCGGTCGGAGTCAGAGTTTCCCACACATTTGGCCTTTTAAAAGTGGCCACATTGGAAAGTTTCGTTAGTTTTGTTCTGAGGGTTAAGATTTTCTCGGTCTGGTTGGTTTTAAAACTGCCAAAAACGTACATATTACGTCACCCAGGCCCAGACAGAAAACGAGTCACCGCGGAAGAAGAACGAGCACCTGCCAAAGCTGGTACAAGCTAATGACTGTAGACACCTTAGAACACTTGTCTCGCTGTCAGGAGGAAGCTGCAGCCGTTGAAAAGTTTCAGGAGACGAAAAGAGACAGCGGGAAAGAGGACAGAGAGGGGAAAAGACAGAGGAAAAGCGAGATAAAGTGAGTGCAGAAGGCGTGAAATTGAAATCCGAATGCAAGACTTAGGCGAGAGAGAGCAAAGGAATGTCCTGCTGCAAGAATTGGTCAAATATGAAGAGTACACAAGGAAGTGGACAAAAATACAAATCGTTAAAGCTTGGTGTGAGACTGGCTTAGCACTATCGGAAGGTTTCGGGTTCGAGTCCCGGGTCGCCCAGGCATTTCTGTGAGGAGTTTGCCTGTGTCTGGATGTGTTTCCCTCATTAAAAGTGCATTTTGTAACTTCTGTAACAAACACTTTTCTCCACAGTATGATATTAAACCTTTCTATCTTCATGAAGACCAAACCGTACCAAGTTACAGGTCAGATCTGCGGAGAGGCGACCCCACTCACAGTATTTTTGAGCTATAAAACCACCTGTAAGTGCATTCTGAAGTGACCCAAATCCGATTTTTTTCGCCAACATTGCGACCTGTATCTGATCTTTTAATGACAGTCTGAACGACACAGATCCGATTTTTTTCAAATGCGACCACTTTGATATGTGCTCCTAAAACTGATACATGTCCGATCTTTTGACATGTGACTTCAGTCTGAACGGTCAGGTCACATTCATCCCGCCTACACGTCAGACTCGGAGTCTCGTCAATGGAGGGAAAGCGAGGTTAGTGAGTTTATTAATATTTGGGGGGATCGCTGTTTTCAGGCCAAATTGGAAGGGTCGTATCAGAACTGGGTGTTTTTTGAAATTGCCAAATTAATGTCCGAGCGCTGCTACAGTTGGTCCTGGCTCCAATGTCAACGAAAAATAAAGAGCCTGTGAGTCAAATACAAGGAGGCTAAAGACTCAAACAAACAAAGTGGATGTATAACCTGTCCATTTTACCAAGAACTGGACTGTATTTTGGAAAACAAGCTCAGCGTTTAGGCGACTTCCATAAACAATGATCACACTCACT